TGCAGGACAGAGGGACAAGTGACACCCGCCTCCTGCTGCGACCCTCTCCCGGACTGATTTAATCCCTTCCCCTGGTAAAATGCACCAAGTGGGGTCTGTAAAGCTGCGGGAGCAGGACGGCGCTTTTTGTGTGGCCCATCCTTTGTTATTTTGATTCTCATCTAGGAGAGAAAGCTGAGCTCCCAAGATACTGAGATAAGGAATTAAACCCTGAGACAGAGAAGCAGATGGGAACATTGGTGCTGACTCCAGTAAGACTTTTAGCAAAAAGTCTTTTAAGTCTTTTTTAGCAAAAAGCCGCGCTCCCATGGCTATACACAGAGTTAGCTGGCGCGCGTGTCCTCGGGGACACGCGGGGTATCGGTGACAGGCTGAGCGAGGCAGGTGGGAGAGGTGAGAGACACAAAGGGAGAACCGTAAGTGTCCAGGCAAACATCACCGCCACCTTCACATCCTTACCCATCCACCGTGGGCCTCAATGTAGTTTCTCACTTGAGCATTTCCATTAATCACTTGTATGAGGTGGGTGGGATGCAGCAAATCTGGGATTTTCTTAGCAATATATGTTAGCAATTTCACAGAAACACTGAGAAAAGCTCTCTCGTAGACCAGCTCAGGGTTCCGGTCACTCCAGTTCCTGCGGAGAGAGTCCACAGCAGCCCCAAACTTCTCCACCTGCAAGCATCAAGAGGGCAGTTTGAGTTTCTTTTTAAATGATGATGTGATAAGTAAGTCTGGGCTCAAAATCCAACATTCAGTTAAATTCCTGCATTTGCTGCTTCTACCCATGACTAGAGCAGGTGATCCCACAGCTTCCTGGTGACACCCATGCAGCATAGGACATTCAGGGCCGGGCTCTCCTTGCTGTGGCTCGTGCCACTGGGAGGGCAGCCATGGTCTAACCGGAGCTGCAGCGAGCCTGAAGCTACCACTGCCTGTGGTGCTTGCAGCAGAAGAGTGCTGGGCGAGAGCTCTGGGCACAGGGCAGCTGCAGCACCCGCTCGGCCCCTCTCACCGCAGTCTTCCTCCTCTCCCCCTCCACACACTCACTGCCCACAGCAGCTCCAGAGCAGCTCCTGCAATGGCAGGTCGCCCCGGGCAGCTCCAGGGCTTCTCCGGTGATAAAACCAGCTCCTTTGGGAAAGAGGAGGAGAAAAGCATCAGCTCTGGAGCCCTCAACATAAGAAGGACATGGACCTGTTGGAGCAGGGCCAGAGGAGGCCCTGGAGCTGCTGGGAGGGCTGGAGCCCCTCTGCTGGGAGGACAGGCTGGGAGAGTTGGGGGGGTTCAGCCTGGAGAAGAGAAGGCTCTGGGGAGACCTTATAGCAGCCTTCCAGTATCTGAAGGGGGCCTACAGGAAAGCTGGAGAGGGACTTTGGACAAGGGCACGTCGTGATGGGACGAGGGGTGATGGCTTCAAACTGGAAGGGGAGAGATTTACAATAGATATAAGGAAGAAATTCTCTCCTGTGCGGGCGCTGATCCCCTGGCGCAGGGTGCCCCGAGGAGCTGTGGCTGCCCCATCCCTGGAGGTGTTCGGGTCCCTCCCACCCCAAACCATTCTGATTCTGTGAGAAGGCAGCTCCCACAGTGCCTTGTCCAGCGTCTGTCCTGGCGGCACAGCGATGGAGGGCGGCTGCGGGTATCGCGCCCCTTCCCCCAGGCCCCGACTCCGGCAGAGTAAGCCGTGCTGCTCCCCGGGCTCTGCCCGTTCTCTGACACAAGGTGACACGCGGCCGGCCTGCAGACCGGGAGCCGGCCAGGCCGGGCAGGACGAGGTGCACTTTACCTTCCCCTTGAGCACTTCAGCAAGAGCCTCTGAGGAAACCCGTTCAAAATCCATGTTGCACTGGTCCCCCATCCGCCGCAGGCGACTGGCGATCACGATTGGGTCAAACCTGGTCTCGCAGTCGTCCCCCAAACACCGCAGGCGAAGGGCGATAGCGGATGCGTTAGGCGCGACCGGAGGCTGCCCCGCAGCCTGCCCGGGCTCTGGAGCAGAGAGCAGGGCGAGGGGGTTCAGCACAACGCGCCGAAGGCAGAGAACAAGAACACGCGCCGAACAGAACAGAACACGTGCCCGCTGCCTCCAAAACGCTGCCCTCAACAGCCACTACGGCGGTTACTGCCTCGAGCATTCAGGAGGTTGATGCACCTGACAAGATGCATTAGGAAATGTAAAACCAAAGCCCCTAAGAAATGCCATACAGCCGTTTAAGTCTCCATTGACTCACAGGGACTAAGGGGCTCTGTACAGGGCTTTGCCCAGGGCTCTCCTCCCACCTCAGTTGCTTCGTGCTCAATTCTCGGTTCATCCCCACTCCTGTTTCCACAAGGACATCCTTACAGCCTCTCTTTTACCCCCCTGGATTTCCAGCTGCTCCTTCTTCCCGGGCTGCCAGAAGCAAGCAAGGAAGGTCCAAGGACTTGGAAAACATCTCATCGCTCTCCTCCGACTGCAGTGACACTGCAGCATCGACTGGACAGCACGGTCCGCCCTCTGCTCCCCCAGCGTTTCGAGGCTGCAGATCATCGCACGCAGTCTTCGGAGAATTTAGATATACTCAACGTCTCTCCTGAGCAAGTGCAAACTGCAATCGTCCCAAGTCTCACAGTGACCCAAATTTGAGAAGGTTTTCACAAACAAACAAACAAAAGGCATATTTTACAAATGCCAAGTGTAGAAAACCATTAGAACTTCTCAGCTACACTGCATAAAGGGGGCGGGGGGG